TCAGGTTAGTTTTGGCATTAGCAGCTCAATTTGATTGGCCCCTTCGACAACTTGATGTCACAAACGCTTTTCTGCATGGAGTTCTTCAAGAAGAGGTATATATGGCTCAACCTCCTGGGTTTGTAGATGCTAACCACCCTGAGCTTGTTTGTAAGTTACACAAGTCCCTCTATGGGTTGAAACAAGCCCCTCGGGCTTGGAATGAAAGGTTTACTGCATTTCTACCTTCTCTGGGGTTTCAACATACATATTCTGATTCTTCTCTCTTTGTCAAGCATGCTGGTGAATCTGTTGTGATTTTATTGTTGTATGTTGATGATATAATCATCACAGGGAGCAGTTCTGCAGCTATTACACAGGTCATTCACTCTCTCACAACTGAGTTTGATATAAAGGATTTGGGAACTCTCCATTTTTTCTTGGGTATTCAGATTACTAGGAGTACAACTGGTCTGTTCTTATCACAGACTAAATACATCAGGGATCTGCTGCATAAAATTGAAATGATTGATTCTAAAGCTTGTGATACTCTATGTCTACCTTATACTCGGCTATTGAAGGATGATGGTCAGCCCTATAACAATCCAACCATGTACAGGAGTATAGTAGGGGCTCTTCAGTACCTCACATTTACTAGGCCCGATATTGCCTTTTCTGTGCATCAAGTGTGCCAGTTTATGCAAGCACCAATGAATTCTCATTTTACAGCAGTCAAGAGGATCTTAAGGTACTTAAAAGGGACTATGCATCTGGGGCTCACATATTCCAAGGGTGATTTGAGTCTGAAATCTTTTAGTGATGCTGACTGGGCCGGCGATCCTAATGATAGGAGGTCTACAACCGGTTTAGTTGTCTTCTTAGGTACCAATCCCATCTCTTGGTCATCTAAGAAACAACAAACTGTTTCTCGATCATCTACTGAAGTTGAATATCGGGCACTCTCTTCCACGGCTGCTGAGTTAGACTGGGTACAACAACTTCTGGCTTTCTTGAAGGTTTCTGTTTGTTCTTCTCCTGTGTTGTTTTGTGATAATCTTTCAGCTATTGCATTATCCTTCAATCCAGTCCAACATCAGCGCACTAAGCATATTGAGATTGATGTTCACTTTGTTCGAGAGAGGGTTGCCAAGAACAAATTGATTGTTCAATTTGTGTCTTCTCAAGAACAGTTTGCTGATATTCTCACCAAGGGATTGAGTGCTCCTTTGTTTAAGATTCATTGTACCAATCTAATGCTTGGCGGTTCCACGCATGAGATTGTGGGGGGATGTTAGAAGTATAAGAATGTAAGGCTGAGATGATGCCACATGTAAACAGATTAGCTTGTTTGTTATAGTTGTTATAAGAGTCGGTTTACTAAGGATATAAATACTCCATCTTGTAATAGCTTATGTGTTAAGATACAGATATTAATTCAATCATATTTTCTCTCTACAATCTTCATTCTCTTTCTCACTCTCTCTTTCTATCTTCGTAAGAACTTGTGTTACTGGGTTAACAATAACCCCAACAGCTTCCTCATCCATGATTTTTTTTTTTTTTGGTATATTTATCTTTGACCCCAACTAATGAGAGTGAACAGCGTTGAATTACAACCTATTGTTGCTTCTTGATTCTCCAATTTTCTTCTTTCTTTCCCATGTCTTCCTTCTCATTTTTCTTGTGTGCAACCCAATGGTGCACACCACACGCTCCACGTAATGCTTCCCTAAAAAGTCTTGGCAAGCATGTCTTGACAGTCTGCTATCCTGGGCACACCATGACAGATGCAGATGTTAGAAGAACACAATAGTTATTGATAGATGTCATCACAAGCTTTCGACGAATGTTGGTAAATTTGGATAGGCGATCACCAAATGCTTGACAGAATAGTGCAATGAAATTTTTTTCTTGGTTGAAATTATGACCTTGTTGTTTTAAAATTCTGACCCTGCCACTATATGCCATAGTGTAATCGTCCGAAAATTTTTCTAACCCGATGAACATGCGTACGTAACCACGTGTCAATTGAATGGTGATGATTGTGGACCATGCGATTGATTGATCCAATATAATGATGATTCCTCTTCTTCCACTACTCAGTCGGCCCCTGTATATAAATAGATGGATCGATCTTTAAAGGTTCCGGCATTAAGCTAACCAGTTATCACAACTTTGCACCCACAGATGGGTCATCATAAAAGAGCATGCACCACAAATTAATTGACATACAAATCTCACTTTAGGGTATCAGCTTCGATTTTTCATTTTTTACCGTCTTCTCTCATCTTAGAATGTCAATGTCAGGGTTCACAATTCATAAACAAATAATTGAAGTACACAAATTGACACATTCTTTAATACATATAAGTTTTAGCATGGTCTGATATTTACATAAATTCAACTATATTAGAATCCGTAGTAATAAACGTGTCATTTTTGTGTGTTCAAATAGTATGACTTATTTAACCACCAGTGAATAAGTCATAAATATTTGGATGAGACTGGTGTGGGTATTATGATTTCTATGATGGTGGCTGTTCGAACCCTCCACCAGCATCGTGCCTTGCGAACGTGGGGAACCAGTTTGGTGCAGTGTTAAGTGGGGGAGCAAGGCTTGGCCCATACGTTAAGATTCTTCAATGGTCCTACTCAATATTTTCACGCATAGGACTTTGCAAATTAGGCATTAAAAAAGGTATTAGGACCTTTATCAGTGTGTACTTAAGAATTTAGTTTACAGTGATTGCCACGTTGCCACATACCTACTCTATATTTTATAGAGAAAAACGTACTTAGATTTTGTTAAGATTTTAGAGAGAGGATATCGCCGAATTCTCTCTGTGAGGATTTCAGAGATCCTCCAATCACTTTCGTTCATTGTACATCGTGCGGTCAGTTTTTATCAGGTACTATTTATGTTTAATTTTAAATAAAAAAAATTTACAATAATTTATGACCGCACGATATACAATGAACGGATGTGATTGGAGAATCCCCAAGATCCTTACAAAGAGAATCCAACGAGAATCCTCCTGAAATTTTAGATAGACGAGACAGTTGTCTACTACTAAACACATTGATATTGTATTCAATTTGTGTCTTATTACTTGCACAATACGGTAAGCGAGGGTGTATTTAACATAATTAGAATTAGAACCACTAGAGATAAATCCTATTAAATTTTGTCACTTCTTCAATGTGTGACACCTCCCAATCCGGACACGATGCCAAATATGATTCCTTTTGACATAAAACAAAAACATATTACCATGCACAATAAAATGAATAAAATAATAAAAAACTTTTTAAGATCCCCATTTCATTCATATTAAGACCGCGCAAATGGCAAGCATGAAAACGAACTTTCTTAAAAAATTTAATTAATTTAAAGCTTATTATATTAACATTTCACAAATTATTGAATAAATCCAACATATTTAATACACGGGTTTTTTTAATAACACCCCACAAATTGTTGAATACACCCCACTTAATATTTAGTGTTAAATGACTTGTATAAAATGATTATTTAAACCCTATTTTTCTCAAAAAAAACCTAAAATTAAAAAATAAAGATATAAAAATATAAAATAAAATAAGCAATTATTTTCTTCCTACATCCCAAATCATGAAAAATAAAATCCTAAAACTACCCGTAAGTTTATTTATAATTTTAAGCATGCTTGCTGTTTATTTCTTAGGATGGGTAGGGGTGCAATGTCATTCAAGCATGATTGCAGAACCGAATTTTTAACCTGGGAGCAGCAGGGTATAAATGGTCTCTGGTAAAAAAATGATCTTCATGGCTAAATTGGTTGTGGGTACTGAACATTTCGGATTTGACAATCAGATAGATTAGTAAATTATGAGCTCTAATAAAAAAAATGATCTTCATGGCTAAATTGGTATTTAAACAAAGCAAGTGAATACCATCATCCCCAACCAAGATGCCAACACCTAGTCACCGAGAGGAGATAGTTCAATATGTTAAATAGAAGCAAAGGAGAAAGTCAAAGTAGCAAAACTATCTGTCGGACAAAAAGAAGGAAACGAAAGATCATTCCATGGAAAATAATGAAAGGCACGTAAGCAAGAATATAAGCTCAGATCAATTTTTTATAATGTTTTATTTAAGGTAACAGATGCATCGACTAACAGAACTTTAATATAATAAAATTTAATGAATGTGGGGTGCATGTGAAAATGTAAGGTGTGTATTAAGATAATTTTTTAGGTGTGTTATTGTGCCATTGTGTTCCCAATTTAACTAGTATATATGGCTGGAAAAGACCAGATTCTTTGGTTCTATTTAATATCCATCAATACTTGTCATTTTCTCGGCATGCATTCTCTAAATGATTCTCGCACGCTTTCGGTTTACCTCATGTGAAGTTTCTAAAACATCGATTTCGTGTTCCATTCGTCAAAATTTTTTTTTTTCTTCTCAAGCAACGTGTTGTAGTTTTGCTAGTTAGGGTTTTGTTCAACAATGGAAGGTGGAAAGAGGTTTTGATAGTTGAAGAAGATAAATAATACATTAAGTGATTTGTAATGTATTTAGAATATCATAAGGTCGAAATTGTCATTCCACGTTAAGGAACACAAGTTATTTAATATTAAATTTTAATATGGGGTGCATTCAATATTATGTAGGGTGCTAATAAAAAAAGCCTGAATTTAATCTTTGTTTTTTTTTTTTTTTTGGTTCAACCGAGGTATTGATCTCTATCTGTTTCATGTAAGATATATTTTTCAGTATGTCGAGAATAAAAATCATAACACAACTAGGTACATGCTTTGAAAAAAAAAATTTACAATCACTATTATGATATTTAATGTACTAAAACTTTGTCGACTTGCAAAAACAAAAATGTAACCTTCCACGAAAATAAAATAAATAAATAAAATGTAAAAAGATCCTTCGTTCAAGGAAACACAAACACGATGTTGCACAACAGAACAAACAAGTACAAATATTTCCTGTTTGTTTCCATTTCAATACCGCCTGCTGAATCAACGGTCACTTTTGCTCCAAGTCCCCTTGGCGGTCTCTTTTCCTCTTCCCAACACTCGTGCTTTTCCTGCTCTGCTCTCTCTCTCTAAAGCTTTGAAATTTGATAGCTTTTGCAATTGGAATATCAGAATCCAGATCCAAATTTCGATCATTGGTCTGCTCAATTTTCTTGTTCAAAGATCGAAACTTTGAGCACCAAAAACTGGTGAGTGAATCAAAGACTGAGTTTATCTGTTTTTTTAAGCTTTCATTGATTATTTTTTATTCAATTTCCACAATTTAAGGTGAAATAGTTGGTCTCTGTTTGGCTGGCGAGAAAATGGAGGAAAATTTGACTTGGGGGTTATCAACAGTCACAAATGGAGATATTTTCCACTGATAAAATATCTGATTTCAGATTCTCTTCCTTTTTGGGTTGGTCAGATCAGCATGCTCCAGTAGTTACTCAAGTTCGAATAATATAGATTAACTTAGCGTAGAATATCGCTCGAATAAAATTAAAAGTTTAAGATATTTTTCTTACAAATTTCCACATTTCAGCTTCCCAGAAGCGGAGGCTTGAATTGAATTGAATTGAGCTCTAGTACTGCTAGTAATGGCGGTCGATGCGAGCTCAATTGCAACGGAATCAATGGGAATTTTGATGTCCTCTGACCACAAATCGGTGGTTTCTATGAACCTTTTTGTGGCGCTTCTCTGCGCTTGTATTCTACTCGGTCATTTGCTGGAGGAAAGTCGATGGATGAATGAGTCCATCACAGCCCTTGCCATTGTGAGTCGGCCTTGGTTTTTCGATGTCTGTATATGATTTTTTGATATATGTTCTGTACAACTGCCGGAAAATAAAGAATTGGAAATCATATTTGATTTTTTGCCGTTGTGTGTGTGTGTTTTATGGAGCATTGGAAATCATATTGTTGGAATTTTTTATTTTGGTGGGCAGGGACTGTGCACTGGAGTTGTAATTTTACTCATAACTGGAGGAAAAAGCTCACATTTATTAGAGTTTAGTGAAGATCTCTTCTTTATATATCTGCTTCCGCCTATCATATTCAACGCAGGGTAAGTTAAATTTGGTTTTATGGATATAGTTGTTGTAATTACGGGTTTGTCTGATCAGTGTAACAAGTTTCACAAAGTATGCAATTGTTATATGGTTTGTTACACACTTTGATAACTGTTCTGATTAACGTAAATGGTATCAAATGATTGGAGTTCTGTTAAAAAAACAAAAGCTTCTGGCTATAAGCTTAACATGTGGCATGATTGAGTTGCGAGCGATGAGTCAATGAGGGTGTCTATTTTTCGGAAAAAAGGCTACCAATGATTTGTCATCATTTGATCAGTATAAATCTTTCAAAGAGTAGATTAATGGACTTTGTAAAAATCTAGTTTCAAACTGTTATTCAACAGGTGGTAGTAGATTATAACTGATATTTCTTTGCAATATATCATCAGGTTCCAGGTAAAGAAGAAGCAATTTTTTCGTAACTTCATGACTATCATGACGTTTGGTGCTGTTGGCACTCTCATATCCTTTACCATCATATCCTTAGGTAACTCGACAACCTGAGGATTTTAGATTTCGTAGCTTAGCTTTATGCTATAAGGTTTAAAGATGTGAGACACTTTATGCATGTTAGGATATTCGTTATATATATATATTTGTTTGAAACAATAGATCATTTAAGGTTTGAGCAGGACTGCCTCTTCACTATAATTGGTTTCAAACAAGCTTCTGTACCACTAGCTTCTTCGATTTCAATTGACCAGCGGATAATTTCAATCATGGTTTTACTTGTGGTCATGAATTCTTTTCTATTTTGAACCAGGTGCGATGCACTTTTTTCACAAGTTCAATATTGGTTCCCTCAAGATTGGAGATTATCTCGGTATACTTTATGACTTTAAATGGTTGCTGTTTGTTTTTCTTTCATTTTTTTTCTGCTTAATTGGATCAGTCACTTGGTTGCAGCACTTGGCGCGATATTTTCAGCAACCGATTCTGTTTGCACCTTACAGGTACGCATGGTCTTGTGTCATGTGAAGATGTGGTTCTGTTTTAGACTTGGTAATGACCACTGAATTGATCCAAACTGTCGAATGCAGGTGCTTAATCAGGATGAGACGCCTTTGTTGTACAGCCTGGTTTTTGGGGAAGGTGTTGTTAATGATGCTACATCAATAGTTCTTTTCAATGCAATCCAGAGCTTCGACCTCTCTAACATCAATACAAGCACTGCTTTGCAATTTTTTGGAAACTTTTTATATTTATTTGCTACAAGTACAATGCTAGGAGTCGCAGTAAGCCTCTCTCTCTCTCTCTCTCTCTCTCTCTCTCTCTCTCCCCCTCCCTACACATGTCTTTTTTTCTTACGCCATTTTCTTGCAGGCTGGACTATTGAGTGCATATATCATCAAGAAGCTCTACTTCGGCAGGTTTGTAAAAATTAGTGTCTTACTTGTATTTTTCTTCTAATAGCATTTTCAATCAATGAGAGCAAAAATAACAAACTCAAGTTTGTATAATTTTACGCTGAAAGACGTAGTTTTCAATGTGACTTTGAGTAGTGCTCTTATACTTGTTTTTTCTAATTTACAATAATCAGGCACTCAACTGATCGTGAAGTCGCTCTTATGATACTCATGGCTTACCTTTCATACATACTATCTGAAGTCAGATTTCTGACAACTTGTATATCATCTCTTTTTTTATTTTTTTTTCTTATCGAAAAGGGGCTCTGACCATAAAATAAAATGTTGATCTATCTTGCAGCTATTTTATTTGAGTGCCATTCTCACTGTGTTCTTTTGTGGAATTGTTATGTCTCACTACACATGGCATAACGTGACTGAAAGTTCAAGAGTGACAACCAAGTACGTTAAATATCCATAAACATCTTCCTGGACAATTGAGAAGCGTTCTCATTCGATCTGTCAACACCTATGGAAATCATTTCTGATGTTTCGATTCTCTGTACAAACTAATGCAGGCATACTTTTGCCACTCTGTCATTTGTGGCTGAGATCTTTATCTTTCTATATGTCGGCATGGATGCCCTTGACATTGACAAATGGAGATTTGCGAGTGATAGGTATGATTCATGCATAAAATGGAAACTGGCATCCTTCTAAACTCATTACGTCATGTACATCATGTTTACTTGTTCTCCGATATTAGGTTAATTTTGCTTTGCTTTATTTCTTTGTTCAGCCCAGGAAAATCCATAGCAGTGAGTTCGATTCTGTTGGCGCTGGTTCTGGTTGGAAGAGCCGCCTTTGTTTTCCCCTTATCTTTCTTATCCAACTTGACTAAGAAATCTCCACAAGCCAAGCTCAGTTTAAAGGAACAAGTAAGAGTTTATCTTATTTGATCTCTTTTGGTGTACATTCTTTGAATCAAATGAAATATTACAGATCTCCATGCATGTCCCGGTTTTCAGGTTACAGTTTGGTGGGCAGGGCTTATGCGTGGCTCTGTTTCTATGGCACTTGCTTATAATCAGGTAAAGATTGAACGTTACGCAGTCCTTTCTGTTGCCTATGAAACTGATATGTATAGTCTTTGGGGACTTTTCAGACAGTTGGACGAAGGTGAGAATAAATTCATGACTGTGTACTTGTGATCGTTGTTCTATGCTGCTCTTACAATGTGGTTGAGCAGTTTTAAGCTTGGGAAAGTTTTGTCACACTAAAGTTGATATTTTGTTGTGAATGCGTATGCAGTTTAATAGCTCTGGCCACACGGACCTGCGTGCGAATGCGACCATGATCACCAGTACCATCACAGTTGTTCTTTTCAGTACAGTGGTAAGACACCGGCGACTTAAAAACCAGACTCATTCGGGACACATTTTGTATATAAGCCCACAAATGACTGGTTTTGTATATTATACTTTTGTTTATGCAGGTGTTTGGTTTGATGACTAAACCACTTGTGAGAATCTTGCTTCCTGTATCAAAACACGTCTCAAGTATGATATCTTCTGAACCATCTAGCCCTAAATCAATCACTGTGCCACTACTCAGCAATGGCCAAGATTCAGAAGTGAACCGTGGGGTGGAAGATTCAGAGGCAAACATAGGGCCCGTAGACATCCCCCGTCCAAGTAGTTTACGAATGCTCCTAGGCGCTTCTTCTCACACTGTCCACCATTACTGGCGAAGATTTGATAACGCCTTCATGAGGCCTGTTTTTGGTGGGCGGGGTTTTGTGCCTCTCGTTCCAGGCTCACCTGCTGAAGAAATTGGCCACCAATGGCGTTGAGAAGGAACTAACACACATGTATAACTATTTATACGCGTTTGCAGATGAGCACTAATTTATGTAATTTTTAGGTCGGGCTTGGGAGTGGCTGCGGTGTGCATTTGTTTGTACACAGGATGAGCTGCTGGTTTCGTGTGGTGGTTCGGAAATTTTAGTGTCTGCATAGGTTGCTGATTAGGTTAATTCCTTAACACAGCTGATGGCCTTGTAAGTTGTGGGATTGGTGTTGTACTGAATATTATTGTAATGATCTTTCAAATTTTTGACTTCGGATATTGCATTGTTAAACTAGCTTTGTGTTTGCATGTGCGTACTACTGGGTAATCTTAAAAATCAACGGTTAGATCTTGCATATAGAGATCTAATGCATCTTTACAACCGTTATGTGACAAATAAGATGAGGCTTGCAGCTCGTCGCTATCATTTGCATCATGTATAGAAGAGATTAATGTCGTTTGTACACATGAGTTGTCGTTTTCAGATATCGTGATATCAAACAAATTGCCCCCTTAGTTGAATACTCGAGACTCGTCGTTTTCAGACATTAGCTCTTATGGTTGAATGCCAAGGCACTCAACCATCAATGGACGAAAATGCCCTTTTGGCCGAACGTCGTTGCTGAAAAGAGAGATTACCGACTAACTCTTAGTTTTGTGGTACTTGTCAACCCAATTTCGAATGTTTATCAACTTTTTTGTTAACATTCAAAAAAGTAGTCACACTCATCTGATCACTCAATTTCTTGCAGCATAAGCTTCAAATAAACTTGGCATCCACAGAAAGATATTTTTTACAAAACAAAACATTATTTAGGAGGAGTTCTTACATGGAGAATTCAGATGGATCCATATATTACACATCACATTGAAGAACACCTATGGCGTCAGAAACATGCACGCGGATCCTTCTAACTCAGTCACGGAAGGAGAAACAACTTTGTTTTACTGTCTAATATTTGGCACAGAAAATTTTCTCTACGGATGGATGTAGTATCCGAATGCTAGACTGATAAGGGCAACCATACAAACATGAAAGAGAGGGAAGCCAACCGTAACCCTTTTTAAATTGTTCTTCCTCCTCCTCAATGACTCCTATAAAGAGAAAACGCGAACATCAGATCTCCAGACCGGGGCACAAAAGAGCAGCAAGGTTCTGATTATGAAAAAAAGAAGACTGAAACAAAATAATGAATTGATTGGATGGAAAATGACTACTCATCCATATCTCTCTCATTCTTCATACTATTTGATTCAAAGGCAGTTATGGGTGAGAGCATATCCTCGGATTAAGATAATATAAAAGCAAAGGATTCACGGAATAAATTACTCACCAATTCATGTTTAAGCATATTCTTCTCTCGAGTGGACCTGCTACTCTCTTCAGTTAACTTCGTGACGGTGAGTTCAGCCTGCAAAGAATATATGACAAATATAAAATCACTTCTCTTTACGGTTTCAAGGAGGGGTTATACGAATGTTAACATTACAATGAGTACTAGAAAGTCGGCTCCACCCAATGGAAATTTGAGGAGCATGCAGACCTGGAATTGGGCCATGTATTTTTTTTTGTCAAAGAAAATTGGGCCATGTATGGGATAAAATCATATGATCTTCGTACCCAGGAATGAGAAGAATTGATGCGTTATAAGCCTAGTCCACCACAATGGGATATGGAATGCGGAAGAGGAAGGACGAGAGGGTGAGCGTATCCGCAACATTTCGCATATCAGTTAACTACAGCACTTCAACGTGTTTAAATAGTAACCTCTTCCCACGTTATTCCCCTGTCAGCTTTCTTAAATTCAGATATTTTCCCAACTATCCTTTCATGAGAATTACAAGACCTTCTACCAAAAATAAGTTTTTCACGGTTACCATGCTATAAAGATATCTAGATGAGAAAAACAGACCTCTTTTAGCTTTGAATCCACCGTATTTAGCTTTGATTTCAGTTCCTCAAAATCCTTTGTTAAATTCAATACTGCAGCACCCCTAGCTGGTTTCAATTCCTCCGTATCCTTGGCTGGTTTCGATTCCTCCATATCTTTCGTTGGATTTGGTTCCTCCATATTTTTCACTGGTTTCAGTTCCTCCATATACTTAGCTGGTTTTGATTCCTCCACATCCTTATCTGGTTTCAATTCCTGCGCATCCTTAGCTGGTTTTGATGCCACCACATCCTTAACTGCTCTTGACTCATCCATGTCCTTACAAGTTTCAAACACGTCAACATCCTCACCAACCTGGCACAAGGAAAACAGATTATGGTGCGAAGGTTATTACAATATGAGAACAACTCTTTTTTGACAAGTCTAATTTCAGAACTGATTACAATACAAACTGATCTTGCTAGAAAGCAGGGTTTGGATCTATTTTTCTGCCTACCACATCAAAATGCTACTGCAGATATCATTTGGCGCTAACAGACGCACGCACATAATCAAGATAAATTAATATTCAAACACATACACACAGAGCAAGTAAACTATAAATAAAAGAGGAATACCAAACAAACAAAGAAGTACAAGCAATCAGTCAAGAATTCAGTTCAACGAACAACGTTATTGCTTTTGCTCTTACCCTATGACTCGGAGGTATGTTTTCAACTTCAGTCAGAACTCTATCCTTTTTCACCGATGTTTCATAGCATGGATCTTGCTTCGACTCCCCATTAATTGGTACAAATACTGGGGACGGGGGTGGGCTAATGAGCAACACTTTTAGCTTCCTTTCTTCAATGTTTCGTCCACTACCTTTTGAAAACTGCCAGAAAGGAGACGTTAAAATGAGAATTTCACCGAACAACTTAGACCAAGAGACACCCAATAATTTGTAACTTCTTACCATCTCGGATGTTATCTCCTGTTCAGTTGTCCCAAATGGAATAACAGTGCACTGTATTAGGAACTTGTCTTTGCACTGCAAATCAGGTGGAGCAACACGCTGAGCTTGCATAGTAACTGGATTGACCAAAAAGGTGAGAGTGAAAATCCATTTAGTTTCAACACTAGATTTTAGGTCAGCCATAACAGGCGACAAACAGTGCAGATGTAAGTTTTGGCTTGACATTATTTTCTCCTAATTCAGTACAGCCCTTGATCATCTACTTTAATTATAAAAACAAACTCATTACAGTACATGTTGCATTGTGAAACGTTGCTAGACCATCAATTCCAATCAAGTAAATTTGTGTTCCAACATTTGATCCGTGTTAACAATCAAACAACATAACGGATAATGCTTTGCGTGGAGCAACATATCATCAATGTATGCATTGGGATTGAAACCACAGCGACAACAACACATTACAGAAAAACACAAAAACACAAAAACCCAAGAAGAAGAGAGATGAACACAAGACCTGTAAAATCACACGTTGTCTTGGGTTTTACAATGCCTGCATTCGGCCGCACACAATATTTCTTCGGGGAAGTGGTCTTCACCTGCATATAGATTTTGCCAATTTTCAAACCAAAACATTAAGCACACCCAATTGATCTCCTAAATCTGAAATCAAACCCAAATTTATCTCAATTTTGGCCACATTTTCATGAAGAGTGACTAATCATATATGTTTCCATGCACACAAAACACAATCTACAAAAAACAATAAATAATTAAAAAAAAATTGAAGGAAGTGCAATACCTTGAAAGCAACATAGTGGTCGGACCTGTTTCCGAGTTGAATCGAGCACGTACTCTGCTTCTTCACTTCAACTGCAATCGGGAAAGAAAATTAAGACACGATTAAATAACAATAATAGTAATAATTAAACAAGAAAGTGCAATCACTTGGTTCTTGGAGATTATACTAATTTACTAATTAAAGTTATGAACCCAGAAAATTAAAAGTGGGAATGGAAATTACATGTGAATTTGAGCTCGCGGGGATGAACTTCCAGAAGCTCTGGCGGCGTCGTCATCAGCAGTTCTTGAGAGAATGCAGGCGGATGAGAAGAACCCAGATGAAGAAACTAGAGAGAGAGAGAGAGAGAGAGAGAGAGAGAGAGAGTGGGATTCTAGAGAGAGAAAGTTTGGAAGTGAAGGAATGGGTTTGGTGGGTTGGTGATGGTGAAGGACTATTTGAAGAAGGTGAAGCAGAGCAGTGAAAGGCAAGTAAGGATTTGTGGGGGAGATGTTGATGGTGGTGCCGCTGCTGAAATATCACCACAGAACACTGCCACTCTCTCTCCTCTCTCTCTCTCAACTGTTGAAGTTGAACGGTTGTACCCGCTTTTCCCTCTTTCATTTTCTTTCTTAGCAAACACCCAAGCAATCCAAATTGACCCAATTGCCCCCCCCAAAACGGTGAGGTAAATATTTGTGGTTACGTTTTAATTGTAACCAATGCATAGTTCAAGTAGCATCACTCCTCCATTGAATATTTGTTATCTGTTCGAAAATTACTTCAATCATCTAATATATGTTTGTCATGTGACGTCACTTGTTACGCAGGAGTATTTTTCTATATATAAGCGAATATAGTATGATTATATAACTTATATAGACTTATGCACTCGATTGAGAGTTTTTCTATTCTCTCGACTTAGATTAGTTTAAAGTAGAATATTACTTGAATAAAAGATATTAATAAACCTGTTGAATCTTAAATTTAGACTTGCATCGAATTTTTTCACTTAAAAAGTGAAAGAACACATTGGTCCGAATTGGATATCATTTGAATGGAAAGTGAGACGAAGAAAAGAAATTTACCGCACGAACATTGTTAAGAAGTTTTTAACCACAAATCTTAAAGTTGCCCTAGTGAAGGGTAAAAGAAAAGTAGCAAGGCAAAGCCACCAAACTTAGACATGACTGCTGGCCATTGTGTACCACATGGACCTGTACAGCTCCCTTCCCTTTTTACCCCACCGAAAGTAAAAAGCTTAAAAGGAGAAGCCATAAAAAATAACAAAGCTTTTCTTCTTTTTCTGCCCTTTTTCCTCTCCTTTTTCAAAGGAAAAGGTTGGAAGTCAAAAATTATATAATTTCCTCTTTTTCATTTTCCTTATTTTTGTGAAACGAACAATATTAAGGGAGGAAGAATTTAAACACAGGACCTCAAATGCAGAGATATACGTTTATAATTACTTGAGCTACAAATCTTTTGTCATTTTTCTTTGTCTTGGAATGGGTTGAAGTTGTGGCAGTACTCATTTGGTGACGAAAGGGTCGCGGGGAGGGTTGGATTCCAGACAGCAATGACTACATCTTTTGTACAACCCCACATGGTAACTCATTGACTTGTATGTTCACAAATCGTCAAATCCTCTGTTGGGTTTGTCATATTCGCACAGGAGAAGGATTATCTCCCCTCTTTTTTTTACCTCTCATTCCCTCCCCTCCTATTTGAACGGTTACGGTTAAGCCACGTCAACATCTTATATTAATTTTTTATAGAAAGAGAAAAACAAAATAGAGAGTGTAAGAGGAGAGAATGTAATGGAATGAAAAAAAAAAGGAGGGGAAAGAATTCTCCTAGCTTTCCTAATGATTTTCCTAGCTTTCCTAATGCCTCCATTATAATAGTCTGCAGAAGGTCATCTGGTCATTAATTCTCCACCGTTAGATGAAATTCAACAGTCCATGGATTGGTGCCGTCTGGTGTCATGTAGCACCCAAGAAAACTCAGTTCAAAAGATAATAATTTATTAAACTCATGCAAGGTCCTAGTTATACTCAATTTCACCTCTCACATACTCTTATTAATTTTTTGCCATTAATTCTCTTCTATTTTTTCGATTCGACGACTGAAAATTAAAAATTGTGCGTAAAAAATAAAAATAAGTATATAGAAAGCACTACCCTAAACTCATACATGTTTTTAACTCCACTTTGATACTACTTCACATGCTATTTGTGCAAATTGATTGTAGATTACAAATCCAATAATATTTAAATTTGTAAAGAAAAACTCAAATTATATATTTAATTAAGCAATGCTTTACCAAGAGGCACTTAGATGGACAAAAGAAGCAAATCAGTTTTGGATCCCTTGCAAATAATAAAGTATGCAAAAGACAGCAAATGTAGCAGCGTATCTACATTTTTTTATTATATCCTTTCATTTAACTATATATTTTGTCTAATAACAAAAAAACTATTTCCACACACAAAAATAACATACTAACACTCTTTGGTATAACTCACAACAAAAAGCATCACCCCTTATCGTGAAGATTGGAGAGTGAACAGAGTGAACTATGCAGCCCTTTTATAGTGAAATTTGGGGCCCAATGACCCCAACTTGGTGCCCTAATCATGAAAATTGATGTGCGAAGGATTTTTTTTCATATGAATTTGCAATTCTCTTCATAGTTAGAATTGTGAAATTTCACCTATCTAGACGAAAATTAAACTCAGAGAATCTTCATCCCCAATTTCCACATTCTTTTCCCCTTGAAATTTGCCTTTTATCTTGCTATAAGTTCCCAAATGAGCCAAAATTGCTTTCCCATCATAACAGGCTGTTATGGAATGAAGCGGTGACAATGTATGTAGGCAAGTGTAGGCAAAGTTAGGCGTTCCTAACAACTAGACAATCTTCCTTAACATTTAAGCCATGCTTCAGTTGGTTAACTAGGAATTTTATAGCTAAAAGCAACCAAAAGCCAAAGGCTACACACCATATAATTCTTGTTTACCTAACTTCATTGTGCTCTAAAGCAACAAATTATATGCACCCACAATTTGAACTAAGCAAACAAAAGTATGTACATTTATTGAAGATGTTTCAACAATTTATATGCCTAGTGTGAATAGATCGGTGCTAGGGTTTGGTCAAGCACTTTCAGATGGGTTGATTTTGATCGTTGCAGCACGTGGAGGAACTGATGAAGTATCACCGACTTGAATCAAATTACATACACATGAGCGACATATGATGAGGAGAGTGTTGATGGTGAAGTGCAAGAGGATAGCGCAAATCATACTCACCTCGTGTGATTAATTTTTTTCACACTAAGTTTGTTTGTTTGCTCTCATACTGGAAGGTTAGGTTTGAAACCCTCCAAGAATTGAATCGCTAGAAAGATCACTTCTTTCGTTTAAACCAAGTAACCTTAAGCCAAAGCTAACATCATTGCCAAACAGAAGATTATGATATCCATATAACCCTCCCTGAATCCTACTCAAAAACCAAAAAAGTCCTCATAACTCTGTTAACATCTCTGTTTCTTTGTTTCAAATCAAAAGCTTCTTGCGAACTTCAAGGGAAGTTGCAGACTCAATTCCCTCTTCTTTCTTTGAAAAATAACAACAATTCCCTCCATTTCTCACAGACTCAAACCCAGACCAACGTATTATGGATGGAGACCCAAACCCAAACCAAGGTATTACGGATGGAGACTCAAACCCAGATGAAAGTAGCTTTCTGCAGGTAGACTCAAACCTAGACGAAGGTAGCTTTCTGCAAGTAGACTCAAACCCAGACGAAGGTATTTGATTTTGCCTTTTAATAAGTTGTATGTGTGAGCTCTTAAACATTTTGCATGATTATAGGACACTGCTTTTTTGCTCTTGGCCATGATATTATTTTTTAATAAAATCTGATTATTGTTGATCTCCCAATGAATAATGCAGTTATTGATGTCGAAAGCAATGTAGAAAATATTCAATGCAATGCTTGAGAAAAAACTCCACCTATTGTAAGTCTTAAAGAAAGTTATGCTGGAGATTTGTATGGAAAGATTGTGAACAATGAGCAAGAAGCTTATGATCTCTATAATGAGTATGCAGCACGCATTGGCTTTAGCACTCGAAAGAAACAAAGAAGATATGACACAAATGGAGATCTTTCAACACTTAATTTTTGTTGTTCAAAAGAAGGTTTTTGGCAAGATAGTGACCCTTGTGAAGAGAAAAAGACTAAGAGATTGGACGAGAGAACAGGCTGCCAAGCCAAAATTCGATTTTTACTAGAAGATGGTGAGTGGAAGGTCTACAACCATTTTCACTCATCAATGTCAAGCTATGGCAAATGCCATTATGGTGGTGTTTCCTGGGACATGCCATCGTTTATGCACATGGCATATATTAACGAATGCTACAAGAAATATACCAACACTTTATGGAATCCCTGAGTTCAAGAGGCTATTCAACAAGTGTCTTGACGGATGTCAAACAGAGTTAGAATTTCAGCATACTTGGGATGCAATGATTGAGGAATTTAATGTTGCACAAAACAAATGGCTTAAAGGTCTTTATGCCATTCGTGAGAAGTGGTGTCCCGTGTTTAGCCAAGATGCTTTCTCTGTGAGGATAAAATCCACACAAAGAAGTGAGAGCGTGAATAATGTTTTCCATCGTATGTCTACTAAAACGATGACTCTTACTGAATTTATGCTTCATTATGAAAAACAAGCAAATGGCATGTGTTCAAAAGAATTAGAAGAAACCTTTCGTTGCAAGCAAGGTTTGCCTTCTACAGCAGCTAAAAACAGTGGTTTTCTTAAACGTGTTGCAAGTGTCTACACGAGAAAAATTTATAAATTTCTTGAGTATGAGTTTGTTGGTAGTTTGGCGGTAAAAATGCGTGAAGTTGAAAGTGATGGAACCCTCCAAACCTTTGAACTTAATGAGGAGGGTCATAGAACAGTTTATGTTGTCAAATTCAACTCTTCAACTTTCAACATCTCATGTAGTTGCAAGAGGTTTGAATCCATGGGTTTGTTATGTTGTCATGCTCTACGGGTAATGAATGTAAAAGAAGTTTCTCAAATACCAAATCCATACATATTGAAATGGTGGACGAAAAACGCAAAGAAAGAATGGAATGAAAATGAGCATGGAGAATCTTTACATGTAAGTGACAATTCGTTAGTGACGTTGCGTCGGAATACTTTGATGCGGATTGCTTATGGTATATTGAGTATGGGAGCTGAGACAGAAAGTCGTCATAGAATTGCAATGAAAAAATTGAAAGAAATGGCACAATTGCTTGACAAAGAAATGAAGTCAAATGGGGAAGAAATTGCTAATAAAGAAAGCAACGACGTTTTGAATGATGCTACTGTTTGTGATATTGATGGAGTCAATAACTCATCTGATGAGGCACCGGTGTTGAATCTTCCGAGTGTGAGGCCAAAGGGAGTAAGTACTGGCTCATCTAGTAAGAAACTTATACATTTTAAATGTTTACATCTGTGTTATTCTTCTGATATATATATATATATATATTAATAGTAGTTGTTGTTATTTACTTGTTCAGAGAAAACCACT